GTGTTTTTGTCATGCCATCAGCCACAATAAAGGCTCGCTTTATTTTTGGAAACCTAGTTCTGTCTCCACCGTGTCTGCATCTGGGTCTACCTCTTCTTCACACCGGCGCACCCCACCGTGACAATAGTATTAGAGCAATTCAATTAGAGCAATTCAACCTCAGACTGCGGGCTTACCTGTGGTGCCTATACTATTTAAATGTAGGATGGGAAGTAGATCCTTTAGCCTCCAGAGTTCAAATTTCAAAATGTCGCTTTTTTAAATTAAAGGATAATGTAATGTTTTCTCCCACTGAAAACGTTCTTTGGAACATAAATGAATCTTTCATTGTTCCTCTATTTGTTCCTGCAGAAGCTGAAGCAGATCGCTGAGAGACGTCTGGCAAAGAATCGGGGTGATGGTGAAGCTCTCGCTCTGCTGGGTCAGGTGGCCAGAGCTGAGGGCGACAGGAAGAGAGCTGCTGAGTTTTATGAGAAAGCTCTGAACTGTGACAAGGATAATGAAGAGTATCTGTCTGCTCTGTGTGAGCTGCGCCTGGAGCTGCAGTGATCATCTGATTAATCACCATCACTGCAAAAACTGGCTATAACTAACTCTTACAATCTTATATCGAGCCAAAAAGTATTTTAATTTTGTTTTGAGAGTGATACACTCAGAGAGAGCAGGGTGGAATTAATCTTTTACAATATGTATTTTATCTCTTAGTTTCTAAATCATAAAATTTGTTATTTACATATGTATCTTTTTTTTGTTTTGTTTATATAGCTTGGAGAAAAATGTTAAATGTTGCACAATTTTTAACAGAAGAGTATTCAAAAACGATAAATAGGAAAGTTAGGAGAACTTAAGTTAAAGTTTAAGTGTAGAAAGGAAAATCATGTCGAAATACTTTTTTGCAGAATATAACTAATGTTGATTAATTCAGAATAAGAGAAAATTTCCATCCTTTAACTGCAGCCAGGAGGTGGCAGCACATCTCCTTTCTTCTTAACTTTCTACTCATCTGCACCACTGCTCTCATCTCAGTCTACAAGGACTGGATTGATTCTAATGTAGAGGACAGAGTGTGTACAATAACACGCAGTCATAAAGATAAACAGAACAACCTTTTTTCTCTCTCTCTCATTCTTTTTCCTCTGACACCAAACTAAAAACTGAAAACTAAAGAAAGCACACAACAGCACCAGGGGCAGTCAGTGTTAACCCAGACTGATCCAGTGTGCTGAGCTCATTCATGACGATTCACATGTTTGATTTGTCAAATATTTTATGTCTGATTCCTGACACAACCCTCCCCATGTATCTGAGCTTGGCACTGCCACTGGACGGTGTCCTCCCCATGTCTGTGTTCACCATGCAGACTCTAATAAGCCACAAGTTATCAGAAGGAGCTGGTGCAGTAAGTATACATGACCTAGTGCTTCACTGTGCAGCTTCCCACCACCAAGAGGCTAAGCTAGGGAGGACCCTCGTCTCACGGCAACGGCTGTCTCCCAATTCAGGGTCTGCAGCCTTAAAGTACGCAGCCTCAACGATCCTCAAGGGCCGCGTACTCAAAGACTGCTAAGGCTGGAAGTGCGAGGCTTGTGAAATGGGACGGTCTAGCCTCTGTTGCGCTGCCCAGGTTGCCTAGCAACCATGATACTAACAGCTGGAAACGTTTCATACAGCTTTGTTTGACAGAAATGAAGGAGAAAATCTTTTGTTCATTTGTTTGTTTGTTTCTACATGAGCTTTGATCATTCTCTGTAAGATTAAGCTCAGCTATTGAACGGTGTATATTTTAAAGTAAAGGCTTTAAAACCAAGTTAGTACAAACGTCACTAATGTCACATAACTTTGCCGACATGTGGCCAACATTAATGTTTTAATGTTCTTCGTTATTAAACATTTGCACATAAATAAGTGACATAATATTCAGTACTTAAAGTTTACTCTTCGGGCGCCCCTCATCCGCCGTTTTTTTTCGGCAAAATTATCCACACCCACCGCCGCGCTATGCATTCTGGGATATGTTGGGCCACGAAGTCCACACCGCCACGTCCTTAAAATTCAGGGAAATGAAGGACGCATTTGAGGGCCGCATTTCGAGCAGCCTTCGAATTGGGACAGCCTTCGTCGCGTCGCTGTGACGTAATCGGCCTTAAAATGCGGCCTTTAAGGCTGCAGACCCTGAATTGGGATACAGCCAATGTTTCTAGTTTTGCTTCCTCTTGGTCTCCTCAGCTGTGATTACTCCCTGCTGTGTCTCATTCCTTCGTTTGCCCTCAGTGTATTTTAGCCCTGTGTTTCTTTCTGTACTCTCATGTGTTTCCCTGAGTGCCTTTCTGTGTGTCTAGTTTATATTATTTCCCAGAGTAGTTTGTATTGTTTTACCAGCCAGCAAATAAAGCTGTGTTGTCTTCGCCTCCATGAGTCTGCATTTGAGTCCTCTCCTGCTTGCACACAGCCAGGAACCTGCCCAGTTTCCAGACAGTCAGTCACACACTCCCCACTCTGACCAGCTCTGCTCTGGCTCAAAATCCTCTGCTTAACTACAAACTCCTGTATATTTATGAATCATATCTAGTCAGCTCTGCCTCGTGTTACAGGAGCCTTCATGTGTAAACAATAACCTGGCCCAAGTAGTGGCTCTATATTAATTTCTATGAGGTGAAATGACTTCCTTTTTTTCTTTTGATGCCACTCATCCAAACATTCAGTATTTGATGATTAACCTCATTTTAGGAAAAGTCATGAAATATGAGATCTTTGGGGGGGGGGGGTTCTTAAAGAGTTGCAGGAGCTGAACTGTGATGATACTTTGTGGTTAAAATGTTTTGATGTGAAGAACATGTGCCGCCGTCCAGTTTCCTGTTTTTTGACTTAAACAAGAAAAGAAAAAAAAACTGTTACATGGTGTTATTTGTATTGATATAGGACATTATAGCTGATTTATAAATCTTAATGTTCCAAATGTTGGAGTTGCACCAGCATCAGTTCTGTTATAAGTGAAATCTTTGGATTTGGTTTTAAAGAGAGCGATCCTCCAGCAGCTGCCATCTACTCATCAGTGACAAGAACAGCAGCAGACGACCGATACGGGTCAAAGAGGAGTAAAGGGACATAAAGTTTACTGCTAGACAGGCACAGACTCTGATCAGGATAAAAAACTTTTAGATTTAGTTATTATTTTCAAGTTGGGCACCTGGTTGTTTTTCTTTTGTTCTCTGTGTTCACGCTTATAAGAAGTCTTCAGTCTGTGCAGTAAATATGTTGCAATAATCCACTGCTTTGAAGAAACACAGGAATGTCAGAGTGGGCTCTCGACTGTTTAACGGAAATAAAACCTCCACCTCTCAGCTGCTGCATGTCTCTTCTCATGGAAAACCTGCTGAACGGCTGCCAAACAGCCAACAGGGGAGCTTTGTTTTAGGTGGTGGCGACATTATTCATCATCAAAACATTCAATGAGCCTGATGTGTGCTTCCTTCAACTTTGTTTAACGACAGACTTACAAACCAGGCTTTTTCTTAGTTATATGCTGACTTATAAATAAGTAAGAAAACTAAATATTTGATAACATCTGGCAGTAAAACTTCTTTAACTCTAACTCAGAATCAAAGATAAAGTTGCTGCTTTATGTTAAATTGTTATTTCTCTTCTTCTTTCTTCTGTTTAGTTTCCTACAGTTTATTTTTATCTATTCACTGCAACTGAGAAATAATACTTACCTCTTTAGCATTTATGAAGCCTTACTTCTGCAAAGGGATAGAAAAGGTGATGTAAGACAAAAGGGACAAGATAGGAGAGAGCAGAGAGGAGAGCCGGAAGAGAGGCGCCCGATCTGGCTTCCCACACCTCCCCTCTGGATTGGGCTGTATGCTCTACCTCCCCACTGCCTCCCAGAAAAGGGAAGAAGAGCAGAATATTTCTTTTCTCTCGTGGTTGGCTGACTGCCTTAGCTGCCTAAGTGATGTCGGCCCTTTTTAGCCATAGCCTGTGACTGGTCCTCTCAGCAGTGTTAGCTAATTCTCTTATAGCCTGCCGTTGTGCCTGTCCTCTGATTCCAATCTCTCTAAGCAGCTTTGCTGTTGTACTGGCAACAAAGCCCCTGCACCCCACTTCCACCGGGTGCACCTTGATCTTCCAGCCTCTGTCCTCTGCCTCAGCTGCCAAGTTGGCATAGCGCAGCTTCTTACGCTCAATTGCTTCCTCCCCTGGTACCGTCAGCTCAATGGCGTACGCAAGTTTTGGGGAGTTAGACCAAAGGACGAGGTCTGGTCGCAGAGTAGTTGTTACGATCTCTGTGGGAAAAATTAGCCTCTGATCCAAGTCCACCTGCATCTGCCAATCCCTGGCAGCCTTCAGCGGGCCCCAGCCCTTTTGCACTCACCTTTCTTGGCTAGACAGCTGAAGACCTGGTTGTGTCTCCATGTGTGTGCCCTGAGTAAGGCTAGTGCTACAACCAACCAAGACGTGCTTGAGTGTGGCTGGGACTGTACACAGGGGGCAGGCTGGGTCCTTTACAAACCACAGCTGCAGATTTATTGGGAAAGGTAGCACATCGTATGTCGCTCGGATGATGAAACTTAGTCTATTATATTCCATTCCCCAAATTTCACTCCATGAGAGTTTCCTCTTTTTCCACACTTTCCCAATTCATCTAGCGACCCTGTATGGCCAGCGCCACGGCTCTGGCATGTCTGGCTGTTTTCTCCTGTCAACGCACCTCCTCCACCACCATTTTTCGACATTTGGTTACAGATGCCTGTTGCCACCGAGGTGTTACTGCGCTAAGACCAAATCCTCCTCTGCTTCAGTCTGTTCCCCCAAGACTTTTATGACATTGACTTCTTTTTTAGCGGATGTAATGTAATATAATCACTCAGTAAACAGCTGTTCAGCGGTGTGACTCACAGGGAAAACATCTTACTTTCCCTTATGTTGGCAAGCGGAGCTGTGGGCAGCAAATGATAATGATTTCATTGTTTGTTTTAGGTTGTTTTTTCTTTTATTTCTATATTTGAAAAGAAACGTGTTGGGTTATTTTGAAGAGAATAATTATCACCATTCGGATAATACATGGTTAGGACTGCCAAGAGGAGCATAGCTGACTAAGAAGTCGCCTCTCCTCTCCTGTCTGCCTGGCTTACGTCCCACATCCCAAACAAGCCATGTTACCCTGGTCTGTCCTGTGTGTCTGTCCCCACCTCTCCCTCTATGATTGCTGGGTGAAGCTCCAGCCTCCCTGCCTCCTCTCATCAGGATACGTGTCAAAGAAAATGAGTCATGTTGGTTCTGCTGGGACAAGCTGAATACAAAAGTGTGATTAAAATCACACTTTTGTGTGATAAAAAGTTTACCTCTGATTTACTGTAGGAACAGAACTGAGGAGGAGGAGACACAAGGAGGAGTCTTCAAAGAGCCCCACCCGCTTTCCCCCACACTTTCTAGAAGCCTCCCCAAGTTTCCGACAGATGTGTGATATAAGAGGAAGACGCACTTTCCTCCCTTCTTTCATTCAAACATTAGCTCTAGATACAGGTTTATCTAAAAATCTGAATTTATCAGTAGATTAGCCGATTAAAAACTAATTTTGAACGTCATTTATAGGAAACAGAAAAACAACGGCTTGATCGGAAAATCTGCGCTGGAATGGATGTTTGTATAACTACGTTACACTTGTGGATTTTGTTCTCTGCCTTCCTCCTGGAGTTTGCAGGTGAGATGTGCTAATAATGCTTTCGATTATGCT